GTACTGACAAATGGGGATCAACTGTCTAATGTTGAGGTAGGAGAAAATTTGGGCCCTAGTGACCACTAATGTCTTTGGTTCGATATTAAAATAAACTGAAATATCATATATAAAAACAAAAGTTTTAGATTTCAAAAAGATGAATTTTGATGAAATGGGTGAATTTCTAAAAAATTACTTGAAAGGTTGGAGTAAAACGACAGGAGTAAGTAATCAGTGGACCCTGTTAAAGTCTACCATCCTGGAGGTAACTATATTATATGTCAAACAGGTTAGTAAGAATAAACGGAAGAAAAACACAATATGGTTCACTAAAGAGGTAAGTAGGATAGTAAAGGAAAAAAAATCAGCACATAGGAGATTCAAAGAAACAGGAGGTGTAGCTGACAGAGTATAAGAATAGACAAAAGGAGGCCAAACACATTATCAGCAATACTGGATGTGTAAAATATCAGCGAGTGCTTGTAATAATAAAAGCAGCTGTACACTAAAAGGAAGCCATAAAATCTTCAGATAAGATATGCGTAAAAATTGTGCAGCGCTATAAATCAAATGATATAAATAATATTCAATAAAATGCAGACAGTTCTCTTAAAAGTTCATAAAGGAAAAAAAATATAAATATATTAAAAAATGTATGTATATTAAAAGTTGCGACCCAAGGTGACACTGTTAATCCTGGTATTATGTTATTTAACAGTCCATGTGACCAGCAAAAAAATAGTTATGCGCACTCAAAGATACGCATAGATAATGCGCAGTATATAAATCAATGAAGATCTGCCTGGAATCCCTCTTAAGGGTGGTACTGGAGAGAACAGCCCAGGGTGGATGGATAACATCAAGGTGGCACTGTGCCTGGAGGTCCCCTTTGGGTTGGATTCAGCGAGCCCCCTCCCACCTGGTGACCATTTCTATATCCAGATGGGGTTTGCATCCATATCCTTAAAGGGGACCTCCAGGCACAGCTCCACGTTGATGTTATACATCCACCCTGGGCTGTTCTCTCTAGTACCACCCTTAAGAGGGATTCCGGGCAGATCTTCATTGATTTATATACTGCGCATTATTTATGCGTATCTGGTGAGAGCGCATTTTAACTATTTGTTCGCTGCTCACTTGGACTGTTTAATAACATAATACCAGGATTAACAGTGTCACCTTGGGTCGCAACTTTTAATATGTATATATATATATATATATATATATATATATATATATATATATATATACACTTTTTTTATATATTTATATTTTTTTTCCTTTATGGACTTTTAATAGAACTGTCTGCATTTTATTGAATATTATTTATATCATTTGATTTATAGCGCTGCACAATTTTTACGCATACATTATCAGCAATGCCAAAGCACAGAAAGAAGAGGAAATTGCTAAATCTATTAAGAGAGGATATAAAACATTTTTTAGCTACATTAGAGACAGAATGAAAAAATACAATGGGATCACTAAAATGAAAACTGGGCACAACACTTTTGTTGAGGGAGACCTGGATGTAGCAAACCACTTAAACAATTACTTTTGTTCAGTCTTCTCTGAAATAAATTATACTAACAGTAATAAGTTGAGAAATCATATTGGTTCTAATAATGATGGATCTTTTTTAGGATTTCCGGAGACAGAGGTAGCAGAGGAACTGGCTCGGTTAAAGATTAATAAAGCAATGGACCCTGATGGTATTCATCCCAGAGTACTAAGAGAACTTTGAGGTATAGTTGTTGAAACATTAGCTGATCTTTTTAATCAATCTCTTCTAAGAGAAGTTCCGCATGATGGCGGACAGCTGATGTTGTACCTATCCACAAGAAGGACAACAAGGTAGAAGTTTGCAATTACAGGCCAATGAGTTTAATATCAGCTCTAGTCAGGTTAATTGAATCACTCCTGAAAAAAAAGGATCGTTGATCATTTAAAAACACACAACTTGCTGGATCCAAAGCAGCATGGCTTTACTGAGGGCAGATCATGTCAGATTAATCTGATTGGATTTTTTTTATTATATTACCAATGTTTGGGTCCAGGGTGGAGCTGTGGACATAGCATATCTTGATACAGTTCCTCAAAATGATCTAATACAAAAGTTGTACAAGCTAGGACTTAGCCCTTGGGTAGTTCCATGGATATGCAGCTGGCTAAAGAATAGATACCAGAGTGTAGTTGTAAATGGGGTTCATGCGGCAAAGGGACCAGTCACTAGTGGTGTACCACAAGGCTCTGTACTAGGTTCTGTTTTATTTAATCTATATGTAATTGCTATAACTAAATGTTTGTTGGGTAAGGTATGTCTTTTTGTTGATGACACAAAGGTGTGCAATATGGTTGATATCCCTAGAGGTGTTTATAACATGGAACATGATTTGGCATTGCTGGAAGATTGGTCAAAAATGTGCAAATGCAGTTCAATGTTTCTGAATGTAAAATAATGCACCTAGGGAAAAAGAATACTTTGAGAGAGTACATTGAGGGTACATTGTTGACCAGCACTTCAGAGAAAAAGGACTTGGGGTACTTATTTCGGATGATTGCAAAATGAGCAAACAGTGTGGCCAGGCAGTGGGGAAAGCAAATAGAACTCTAGGATGCATCACTAGAGGGGTCACGAGCAGGAGGAAGAAGGTCCTGATTCCCCAAGGGACCCCCTAGAGAAGGGAAAGGGGAGACATGACTGAAACCTTTAAATACAGTTGCAAGAAAAAGTATGTGAACCCCTTGGGATTACATGGAGTTTTGCATGAATTGGGCATAAAATGTGCTCTGAACGTCATCTAAGTCACAACAATAGAAGAACACAGTCTGCTGAACATAATACTACACAAACATTAGATGTTGCCATGGTTTAATTGCACATAACATGTAAACATTCACAGTGCAGGGAGGAAAAAGTATGTGAGGCCCTAGCTTAATGACTTCTCCCAGAGCTAATTGGAGCCAGGAGTGAGCCAACCTTGACTCCAATCAGTGTGATGATATTGGATGTGTTGCTGACAGCTGTCCTGCCCTTAAAAAACACACACCTGTTTTGGGTTTTTACTGGTTTCAAGAAGCACTGTCTGATGTGAACCATGCCTCGCAGAAAAGAGCTCTCGGAAGACCTCCCATCAAGAATTGTTGACTTGCATGAAGCTGGAAAGGGTTACAAAAGTATCTCCAAAAGCCTTGATGTTCATGTGTCCACTAAGACAGACTGTCTACAAATGGAGAAAGTTTAGCACTGTTGCTACTCTCACTAGGCGGGGTCGTCCTGTAAAAATGACTGCAAGAGCACAGCGCAGAATGCTGCATGAGGTAAAGAAGAATCCCAGAGTGTCAGCTAAAGACCTACAGAAATCTCTGGCACATGCTAACATTTTTGTTGACACATCTACAATAAGGAAAACATTAAACAAGAATGGAGTACATGGGAGGACACCACGGAGGAAGCCATTGCTGTCCAAAAAGAAGATTGCAGCACGTTTGAAGTTTGCAAAAGAGCACCTGGATGTTCCACAGCACTACTGGCAAAATATACTGTGGACAGATGAAACCAAGATTGGGTTGTTTGGGAAGAACACACAACACTATGTGTGGAGAAAAAAGGCACAGCACACCAACATCAAAACCTCATCCCCCTGTGAAACATTGCGGAGGGAGCATCATGGTTTGGGGCTGCTTTGCTGCCTCAGGGCCTGGACGGATTGTTGTCATTGATGGAAAATGAATTCCAGAGTTTATCAAGACATTTTCTTACGACCATCTGTCCGCCAACTGAAGCTCCGCAGAGGATGGGTGATGCACAGGACAATGACCCAAAGCATACAAGTAATTCAACAAAACAATGGCTGCAACAGCACAGAATACGCCTTCTGGAGTGGCCCAGTCAGAGTCCTGACCTCAACCTGATTGAAATGCTGTGGCATGACCTTAAGAGTGCGATTCACACCAGACATCCCAAGAATATTGCTACACTGAAACAGTTTTGTGAAGAGGAGGTCCAAAATGACTCCAGATCGTTGTGCAGGTCTGATCTGCAACTACAGGAAACGTTTGGTTGAGGTTATTGCTGCCAAAGGAGGGTCAACCAGTTATTAAGTCCAAAGGTTCACATACTTTTTCCTCCCTGCACTGTGAATGTTTACATGTTATGTGCAATTAAGTGGCAACATCTAATGTTTGTGTAGTATTATGTTCAGCAGACTGTGTTCTTTTATTGTTGTGACTTAGATGACGTTCAGAGCACATTTTATGCCCAATTCATGCAAAACTCCACGGAATCCCAAGGGGTTCACATACTTTTTCTTGCAACTGTACATCAAGGGGGTGAATAAGGTTCAGGAGGGCAGTATGTTCAAAATGAAACCAAAATCAAGAACACGGGGACATGACCTTAAACTAACTGGAGGAAAGTTAAAAACTAATCTCAGAAAGTACTATTCTACTGAAAGAGTAATTGATGTTTGGAATAAACTTCCAGCAGAGGTAGTGAGTAAATCAATAGTAAATAACTTCAAACATGCATGGGGCAAGCATAGGTCTATATTCAGAAAACCACAGGTCTCTGCAGATGGGTGTGAATGAGCCCTTAATGTTTTCCTTCTCATTGCACCTATATTCTAATTTGCATTCTTTATATTTGATGCTGGGCACCTTAACCACTTGCCAATCGCACATAGCTGGATGACGGTTTCACTGTCCTACAGACACAACTGATCACATGATGTGGTAAAAGGCCAATCACAGCAGCCTTTTACCAAGTGATCAGCTGTGTCCAGTGACACAGCAGATTACCAGTAAATGCAGTTGCCGGTTATCGGCTGCACTTTCCCCACGCTGTCACAGCATAAGGAAAGTACTGTCGATAACCGGCATTTGTCAGAAGACGGATCAGCACCGATCCTCACCGATCATCAGGGCACTGATGATCAGTGCCAGCAGTGCCACACCAGAAGTGCCACCCACCTGTGCCCAGTATTGCCGCCCACAATTGCCAGCAGTGCCACCCACCTGTGCCCACCAGTGCCACCTGTGCTGAGCAGTGCCTAGTAGTGTGACCCACCAGTGCCCATCAGTGCCGCCCATCAGTGCCGCCCAGCAGTACCACCAATCAGTGCCCAGCAGTGCCGCCAGTCAGTGCCATCTGTCAGTGCTACCCATCAGTGCCGCCAGTCAGTGCCACCCATCAGTGCCCATCATTGATGCATATCAGTGCAGCAGCATCAGTGCCACCTCATCAGTGCCCAGCAGTGCCGCCAGTCAGTGCCATCAGTCAGTTCTACTCATCAGTGCAGCCTATCAGTGCTGCCTATCAGTGCCCATCAGTGCTGCCTATCAGTGCCCATCAGTGCTGCCTTTCTGTGCCACCTCATCAGTGTCTCCTATCAGAGCCCATCAGTGCTGCCTATCAGTGCAGCCCCATCAACGCACATCAGTGAAGGAGAAAAATTACCTGTTTGCAAAATTTTATAATAGAAACAAAGAAAAACTTTAAAAAAAATTTTTACTCTTTTTTTTGTTTATAGCACAAAAAATAAAACACCCAGTGACGACTAAATACCACCAAAAGAAAGCTCTATTTGTGTGAAAACAAATGATAAAAATTTAATATGAGTACAGTGTTGCATGACCGCGCAAATGTCATTCAAAGAGCACTGAAAGCTGAAAATTGGCCTGGGCAGGAAGGAGGTATAAGTGCCCCATAGGCAAGTGGTTAATACAGCTCATTTCCCTCCTGGGTGACTAGCTTTATGTTAAAGCTTTGTGTCACTTTTTTTGTCCATGCCAAGATGGTCTGATCAGCTGCTGTGCTGGCACAGGTGAGAGGTCATGGCCTTTATCCTTGGGTTGTGCTCAGGCATGTTTCCTGACATTGCATTTGATTGAGTATTGCCTCCTATTATTTACCTGCTTTTGCTATTTTACTGCTTCCTGAAACCCAAGCAGCTAAGTTCCCCAAAGCATTCTTGCCACTCTGCTCCTCTCTAAGGCCCCATGTACCTGGGACACTTCTGAACGATGGAAACTGACTGCTGGAAAACGTAGGTTAAAAAACGTCTGTTTAGCCGCTTTGCATAATGCGTTTATGCACGTTTGCGTTTTGAAGCGTTTTTTTAACCACTTGGCTACAGGGCACTTATACCCCCTTCCTGCCCAGGCCAATTTTCAGCTTTCAGTGCTGTTGCACTTTGAATGACAATTCCGCGGACATGCAACACTGTATCCATATGAAATTTTTATCATTTTTTTAGACAGAGCTTTCTTTTGGTGGTATTTAATCACCTTTGGGTTATTTATTTTTTGCTAAACAAACCAAAAACAACTGAAATTTTTGAAAAAAAAAGTTTTTTTCTTAGTTTTTGTTATAAAATTTTGTAAACAAGTGATTTTTCTCCTTCACTGATGTGCGTTAATGAGGCTGCAGTGATGGGCACTGATAAGTAGCAAGGATGGGCACTGATGAGGAGGCACTAGTAGGTGGCACTACTACTGCATTGACAGGCATCACTGATGGTCACTGAAAGGCAGCACTCATATATGGCACTGATAGGCGGCACTGACTGGCACTGATAGGCGGCACTGATAGGCGGCACTGATTGGCAGTACTGATAGTTGGCACTGACTGGCATTGATAGGTGGTACTGACTGGCACTGATAGGTGACACTGAAAGGCAGCTCAGATGGGCACTGTTATGTGGCATTGATGTGCACTAGTAGGCACTGATATGTGGCATTGATGAGGCACTGATGGGCACTGGCAGGTGACATTGATGGGCACTGACAGCTGGCACTGCTGGGGCTACACTGATCATCAGGGCACATCAGTGCCCTGATGATCAGTGTACATGTCCCCTCAGAGGAATGCCGATTACCAGCTCTCCTCTCCTCTCAAAATGTCAGTGTGACAGCTCATGAGGAGAGAAATGCCGATAACCGACATTTCCCTATTTACATGCGATCAGCTGTGATTAGACACAGCTTATCACATCTTCTGCTGTTTCCATTGATCGGTGATCCGCTGTGTCCGAGGGACACAGCGCACTGCCGATCGCCACGCTGCGTGCTCCCGGAGCCGCGCATGCGCGGTTAGAATGTCATATGACGTCCTCCCAATGGAAGAACCGTCTTGTGCCAGTCATTTCCTTATATGGCGGGTGGGAGGCGGTTAAAGATAAGCAAAGGAGAACCTCCCAAATGCCCAGAATGCACTGAAAAGTGGGGTGAATGATCATTAACATATCTTTTGTTTCCAAGGGTGGGAGAGGTCTGAGGTGTGAATTGGTCATTATAATGTGTGACAAGTTTGGTTGGAACATCCTGTGTTCAGTGTTTTATCCATTTGAGTACCTTGAAAACGCTTTGCATGCATTTTTTTTTCTGATGGAAAAAGGCTCTGGACAGCCGCATTTAGCCGCATTTACAAGCGTTTTGCATTTGAAACGCTGATAAAATTAACTGCTGAACGCAAGTTTTCTGTGTTCAAAAAATTACTGTAAACTCAAATGCCTGTAAACGAAGATGTGTACATGGACACATAGGAAAACATTAAGGTGAGTTCAGGGGCTGCTTAAAAAACACGGAACAGCTCCTAAATATGAGTTTATCAGCTGCAGTGTACATGAGCCCTAACTATATTTCCCACATTCCAACCATATCTGGACTAGAGACAGGCATGAAACAGATATACTGGACTGAAACATTTTAGCTAGCAGAATGTGGTCAGGATCATTTTATAATAAAGTAATTATATTCAGAGCAAATATCACAGATCAAGGCCAAAAATATATTTACTGTTTATATTATTATTATTATTATTATTAACCGCCTCTCGCCCGCCATGTAGTACAATGACGGGTGCAAGGCGGTTCTCTCGTTCTGGGAGGACGTCATATAACGTCCTTCCATTCTAACCTCACATGCACGGCTCCGGGAGCGCACAGCGATCAGCGGTGCGCTGTGTCCCTTGGACACAGCGAATCACCGATCAACGGAAAGAGCTGAAGATGTCAGCTTGGTCATGTGATCAGCTGTGTCCAATCACAGCTGATCTCATGTAAATAGGGAAATGCCGGTTATCGGTTATTTCTATCCTCACGAGCTATCACGCTGACAGCTCAAGAGGAGAGGAGAGCCGGTAATCGGCATCCCTCAGAGGGGACATCTACACTGATCATCAAGGCACTGATGATCAGTGTGCCCTGATGATCTGTGTAGCCCCAGCAGTGCCACCTGTCAGTGTCCATCAGTGCCAGCTGTCAGTGTTCATCAATGCCACCTGCCAGTGCTCATCAGTGCCACATCAATGCCACATTTCAGTGCCTACCAGTGCACATCAATGCCACATATCAGTGCCCATCTGAGCTGCCTTTCAGTGTCACCCATCAGTGCCAGTCAGTGCCACCTATCAATGCCAGTCACTGCCACCTATCAGTGCTGCCAATCAGTGCCACCTATCAGTGCCAGTCAGTGCCACCTATCAGTGTGCATCAGTGCCACCTATCAGTGCCCATCAGTGCTGCCTATCAGTGCCGCCTATTAGTGCCAGTCAGTGCTGCCTATCAGTGCCACCTATCAGTGCTGCCTATCAGTGCCATATATGAGTGCTGCCTTTCAGTGCCCATCAGTGATGCCTGTTAATGCCCATCAGTGCCACCAACCAGTGCCCCCTCATCAGTGCCCATCAGTGCCACCTATCAGTGTCCATCAGTGCAGCCTATCAGTGCCCATCACTGCAGCATCATTTGCGCTCATCAGTGAAGTAGAAAAAATCACTTATTTACAAAATTTTATAACAAAAACTAAGAAAAAAATTGTTTTTTTTTTTTTCAAAAGTTTCAGTGGTGTTTGGTTTGTTTAAGAAAAACCCAGAGGTGATTAATTACCATCAATAGAAATCTCTATCTGTCACAAAAAAATGCTAAAAATGTCATATGGGTACAGTGTTGTATGACCGCGCAATTGTCATTCAAAGTGCAACGGCGCTGAAAGCTGGAAATTGGCCTGGGCAGGAAGGGGATTTAAGTGCCCTGTAGGCTAGTGGTTAAGTGAATACATACTGTAGTTATATAGTTAGTCATGATTAAAATAAAAGCCAAAGAAAAACATCCTCCGTATACACAATCATATACCCACAGTTAATAAGGAGGAAAAACACACAAAAAAATCATGATTCAAATTTGCTCCATCAGGGGAAAAAAAATAATTCCTGACCTTCCAGGAGTCAATCAGATAATCCTTGGATCAACTTCTCCGAGTACTACTACTAGTGAGTCTATTCCACATTTTCTCAGCTCTTAGGGCTTGTCCACACCATACGTGCATGGAAACTGATGTTCAGATTTCACTTGCAGAGACATCAGTTTACTTCGGTTTTCATGCATGCTGCAATGAGCTTTTTTTATACGTTTTCAGATTCCTGCGCAGAAAAAAATCTGCACATGATACTGTGGTATGAACAGGGCACATAGAGAACAATTGATTTTGTTGTATCCTGGCAGAACACATGCAGAAAATCTGACGTCTCTGGACCATGGTGTGAAACAACCCTTACTGTGGTTGAGAGAAGAAAGAAGCACAAATTAGGACATAACTGTAACATCTGTAGCAACTAGAGATGCACCAAAATTTCTGTGGCAAAAACGTTTCAGCTGAAAATCCCCTTATCGACCTTTGGCCAATATGTAAATAGGCATCAAAAATAACCTCTCCCCCCACCACCCCTCGCCACACGCCGCAACCCATTAGTTCTCAGCCTTACCTGAGAACCCATCTAACTATCCCAGTAATGGGCATAGAGATCAGTGAAGGAAAGATGGCCTCCAATCATTTCTATGCCCTTGGAAGACCAGAGCAAGGTTATTACATCCAATAAAATAAAGAATGGTGCCGCGCCCTTAAATTGAACATGTGTTTGGATAAAATGAAATAAGAGTGATTAATTACCTAAATTCAGTTGCATAAATTACTTTGATATAAATCAATTTTCCAATTCATTAAATTGCATAATGATAAAGCATAGATATATCACAAAAAAAAAAAATAAATAAATAAATATTATGAATTGGTATTTAAATAAATATATATAAATATAAATGTCCAATACATATGAAAGTTCAATCAATTGTGAAATCCCATCATATTGAGACTTACTCAGTGTACTATAGTGTACTATTCACATAATCCCGGATAGTCTATAAATAAAACTGCTGAAAAACGCAAGAGATTACTCTGATGTGTTCCTCTGTGGAAAGCAAGCTGGATGGTTCGCCTCTTTACTCCTGGTCATGCTGCTATGGATGGATCCAGGGTAGGGTCCTCCCTCCAACAGGCTCTATGTGCTTTCTCCTTATTACTCCACGTATGTGCCAGAAAGAAAAGAGAGAGGAATATTGCCTTATCCTTAGTATAAAATATATTTATTTGTGCCAATTTTGCACTTACAAAAATTAAAATCATGCAGCGCTTTTAGTATAATGTGATGTGTCCAGCCTGAGCGGCGTACGGACACACACTGCCTGTACTCGCCGTTCCAAGGAGTCGGGTACGTGGTGACGTTAGTGCCCCTCCCCACTGATGAACACTGACGTCACCACGTACCCGACTCCTTGGAACGGCGAGTACACCTTTTGGATGAATTAGAGTGGAGACTGTGAGCCAGGCCTTCTCATCCGACATCAGTGACTGACAAATGCGCTTCTGGAAGAATGGTCAAACATTCCCATAAACATATTCCTAAACCTTGTGGATAGCCTTCTCAGAAGAATTGAAGCTGTTATAGTTGCAAAGGGTGGGCCAACTCATTATTGAACCCTATGGACTAAGAGTGGGATGCCATTAAAGCTCATGTGCATGTAAGCAGGTGTCCCAATACTTTTGACAATATAGTGTATATCACTGTCAATCTCCACTGTGCAGCACTGTGGAAAATATCACTCTAAATAAAAAGTCAATTTCATAAATTAATAAAAAAATAAATGGTCTTACATGTAAAACAAATAATTACATGTGCTCAGTTACTGATTCCAAATAAAATGCCCTCAATTTTCTGTGCATTTTTAATAACAAATTAATAGATAAATAATGTTCATACAGCAGGATTAGGTCCTCCTTAAAGTGCTCTAAGTGCTGTGTCTTCACTCTACACATGAAAACTGTGCTCAATGCGTGCACTGTTTCCTCCTCAAAAGGAATAAAAACATATTGGGGCATGGCCTTACGGTGGGAGTGAGCAAGTTGTCCAAGCCAGCCAGCAAAGGGAACTCTTTTATGGACAGTGAGGTAGAGTGATGGTTTAGCCTACATTTATCTGCAGTGCAAACAGAGGAGAGGTTTATTGACATGCACTTTTATCCCTCTGTCTATGTAAATAGTTCTGTTAACCACCGCTGTGCATATACTGCTGCAAGGCAGCCCCTGTGCACAGGATCACGTATAAAAATGTGATTCGCACGAGCGCTCCCCATCCCCGACCCACGGGTGTCACAATTCAATCCCCGAGGGATCAATCATTCAGTTTCAGCCAGTGATGTCTGGCCGAAGTCGGATGATCAGTCCCTGTCCTAGGATATGAGGTAAAGCTTCTCTGCTTGGGCACATTCCATCCCAGAGAGAGAAGAAGACACAGTAAACATGAGTAAACGGCACACATTTACAGTTAGAACACACCTAGGTCACATTTAACCTCCTGATCGCCCCCCCAGTTAACCCCTTCACTGCCTTGTCACCAGTGTCATTATCAGGGGCGGACTGACAACTCATGGGGCCCCCGTGTCCTTGCCCAAACTCAAAAAAGCCTATGAAAAAGGTACCAGGGGCATCTTTTACATTATTACATTATACAGTGTACAGATTTTTTACTAATCACTGTATTAGTGTCGCTGGCGGCTTCCGATAGGGTTAGCGCCCATCCCAGATAGCGCCAGTTTGCCTGCTAGTACACCAGTAATCCCATTTAACCCCTTGATCGCCCCCCCCCCCCCATTTAACCCCTATACTGCCCTGTCACCAGTGTCATTATTTACAGTGTACAGATTTTTTACTGATCACTGTATTCGTGTCGCTTGCGACTTCCGATAGGGTTAGCGTAAGTTAGCGTCCCTCCCAGATAGCGTCAGATTGCCGCTAGTACACCAGTACTCACATTTAACCCCTTGATTGCCAGGAACACGCTCACTTGCACACTAAATCTCCATTGCTAGCATAGTGTTGGAATGGATCAATGTCTTTGATCAAATCAGCACTATACCAGCGTTCCCATTAGTATAGCGCTCCCAAAAACACAGCGTTAGCAGGATCAACCCCGAAACCTGCCAGCACCTGCGATTAGCACCTACATTTACCACCCCCCCTTCTCCCCCTGCAAGTGCAGTGTCAGTAGATCACTGTCACTTGATACATTACACACAAAACCGCAGTGTTCACAGAATCAGGCCTGATCTCTGTTAGCACTTGTCGTAAAATTTTTTGTAGCGGTTCAAGCAGTCTCTCACAGCCAGGCGTTCCTTTTCCCGTGAGTCTCACTAGGTACCTGTAAATTTAGTGACCAAAATATCCAACCAAAGATACACTAGTGAAGATGTTACAAACGCATGATGACGCTCATATGCAGCAGAGTGCCAGTACTAGTGCCGTTTACCTTTTGGTGAACTGGCGAGCACCAGCAGCCTAGTACGTCCTGGTCTTTTTCATACCAGCACTGCAGTATCACTTGGTGACGTGGGGAATCCCATAAGAGCAGTACGAGCTGGTGCGGTGGCAAGCACAAGTAGTATCCAATGGCCACCAAGAATTCACACATAGGCCCGTAGAGTCCATAGTATCCTTCCGGAGGTGCTTGCAAATCCCGATTGGCAGCCCACAAATTCTGCAGCACCCGTACTTCCTCCATTCATTGCCCAACCTGGAATTCAGGTGGAAACAGCAAATTTAAATACTCCATTTGATTTTATGGAGCTGTTTTTCACAGAAGATCTGTATGCATTGATTGTGGATCAAAGCAATTTATATGCACAACAGTTCATCGCCGCCAACCCAAATTCAAACCTTGCCAGACCATTCGCATGGAAACCCATTACTGTTTCCGAATTTAAAGTTTTTTTTGGGCCTAACCCTCAACATGGGCATTACTAAAAAAAAGTCAATTACGGTTTGTATTGGTCCACAGACCCAATTCCTCATATGCCCATGTTCTCTGCCCCCATGGCCAGGACTAGATATGAGAATATAATGCATTTTATGCATTTCAGCGACAACACACTCAGTCGTTCTTGGGGTGACCCTGAATTTGACCGGCTCCACAAAATTCAGCCCCTCGTAAGTCCCCTTAACCAGAAATTTGCAGATGTCTATACTCCCCAGCAAAACATCTGCACTGATGAGTCCCTCATTCATTTTTCTGACTGCCTTGCATTTAAACAGTTTATCCCCAGCAAGCGTGCCACATATGGGGTCAAGGTGTATAAGACCTGTGTGTGAGGGCAACAGGCTACACATATAAGTTTTGGATCTGAGGGAAAAGATAGTCATGTGGAGCCCCCTGGATGCCCACACTACATGGGTAGCAGTGACAAGTTAGTTTGGGACTTGGTGTCACCCTTTTTCCATATGGGGTACCACTTATACGTGGACAATTTTTATTCAAGCGTGCCACTATTTAGACATTTGTACAATTGTGGAATTGGTGCATGTGGCACTGTGCGATCTAATCGCCGGGGCTTCCCCCAATGGCTTGTAAATACCCATCTTAGAAAGGAGGAAAAATCCTGCTTGAGAAATGAGGAATTGCTTGCAGTGAAGTGGAAGGACAAACGGGATGTTTTCATCCTGTCTTCCATTCACGCAGATACGACCATCTAAATTACCACA